CTCCTGTGGTTGTTCACTGCTGTTGAGCCAGCCCCCATTCATAGGGGGCCCTTGTCTCACAGACTAGAACCTAATCCACTGGGTTCTCTTGGTTGTGATCCTACTGAAGCGGTTCATCAAAGCAGCTGCTTACAAACTGCTTACACTACCCAGGCTCCTGTTAATTTTCTGTCTCTGAGGCAAAAGATTTTGTTTTGCTTCCCACTGTTATCCCCAGTACTCCTTTACAGTGCCAAAAATATTTAGTAGGCACACCATAATATTTGGTAAATGAATGAAAACTAAAACTCTCTTAGTTATTTCGTGCTGCTAGAACAAAAATACCACAAGTCGATGGCTTAGCAACCAAACTTATTCTTTCAGAATCAGGAGGCTAGTGATCTGAATTCAGGGTGTCAGCTGGAGCAGGATTTCTACATCAGCTCTGGAGGAAGGTGTTCCTTGGAGATCTCCAGGTATCTTTGCATCAATCTGCCCCTGCAGGAAGCACCTGTCAGAGGACACACTCTGCTCTAGTTCTTCTTCTAGTGGCAGTCAAATCCTTCCACTCTGCTGGCTTTGGTCTTCTTTTATCTCTTGTAAGATAAAAGCAGAAGTCCTGTTAGCACAGCAGGTTAAATATTGGGATGTTAACCAAAAGGATGGCAGTTCAAACCTACCAGCTGCTCTGCTGGAGAAAGATGAGGCTGTATGCTTCTATAAAGATACATAGCCGTGGAGACCCTCTTAGCAAGCTCTATGTCCTATAGGAGAGCAGTAAGTCAGAAATGACTCAGCAATGGTGCTCAACAAGCAAGACTGTCGCTTTAAGGGTGGTGTCTTGAGTAAGAAAGTGGCTTGAATGATGGCGGGGCTGGGTTAGAGATATCCTTTTGTAAGGCAGTGACTCAAGTCACAACCAATCCTAGTTGGTCTCATTAGCATACAATAGTTAAAAGTACATATGTAAATATATTTATATGAGGATGGAGAAATAGATTTATGTGAACATATTTATAAGTTTAGTATTACAGTAGCAGATGGACATTGGGCCTCCACTCAAGTACTCCCTCAATGCAAGAACACTTTGTTCTATAAAACTGGCATTCCATGATGCTCACCTTCCCAACACAATCGCTGAAGACAAAGCAGGTGCATAAGCAAATGTGGTGAAGAAAACTGATGGTGCCCGGCTATCAAAAGATATAGCATCTGGGATCTTATGGGCTTGAAGATAAACAAGTGGCCATCTAGATAGGTGAGAAACAACAAAGCCCACATGGATGAAGCACACCAGCCTGTGTGATCACAAGGTGCCAAAGGGATGAGGTATCAGGCATCAAAGAAAAATCATATCATTGTGAATGAGGGGAAGTGCGGAGTAGGGACCCAAAACCCATCTGTAGACAACTGGACATCCCCTTATAGAAGGGTTTGGGGGAGCAGTCGAGCCAGTCAGGCTGCAGTGTAGCAATAATGAAACATACAACTTTCCTCTAGTTCTTTAATGTTTCCTCCCCCCAACTATCATAATCCCAAATCTACCTTACAAATCTGACTAGACCAGAAGATGTACACTGGTACAGATAGGAACTGGAAACACAGGGAATCCAGGACAGATGAACCCCTGAGGACCAGTGGTGAGAGTGGCGATACCAGGAGGGTGGACGGAAGGTGGGGTAGAAAGGGGGGAACCGATTACAAGGATCTACATATA